TGCAAGATGCTTAGAAAGCAATTGGCATATAGTAAAGATCACTAGGGATCACGAAGTCTTGGCTATAATAATAAAAACGATCAGACTGAAGACAGGATGTCTCGCTACTTTAAGCAAATTCTATCCAGGTATTTTGGTCAGAGTTCTTAGTTACAAGCAATAAACTAATTTGGGCTGCTTTAAGCAGAAAGCGGATTATTGCAAAGATACAGGAGGCTCATCATGTTGTTGGAAGGCTGAGGAGGAGGAGGCCACTCCAGAGGCTAAGCAGCAAGAACGATTTGGTCAGGGCTCTTTGATGAATTCTCTCTCTTCTTTGTGCCACTCCTATTTCAAATTCTTGGTGGGAATATTTTAGGTCATGTGCCCATTCCCAAATTTCCTGGGGCTGGAAAAAGAAGGATCTTCCATTCTGACTTCCATTGTGTACTGTTTACAGCCTTCTCCTCCAGAAGGTTGGCTGTTTAGAAGCCAAAAGACTGACAGCTGACTACTACATCTGGGGTGCTGAAAGGCCTGCAGATGTAATTGTGTGCTATCTTTGAGGAATGTCAGGGACTAGAAATGAACCTATGTCAGTTATCCAAAGAGGAAAAGAGATTAGAACTCAGAATCTGTAGACCATTAAGCTTGATGCAGCTTCTCAGCAAAGTTATAGAATATGTCACAGATGGTTTGTGAACATATAGTAAAGGGCGGGGAAAATGAGTGATGGGCATTGAGGAGGGCACTTGCAGGGTGAGCAATGGGTGTTTTATGTAAGTGATGAATCAGAGGAATCTACCAAGAGCTAAGAGCACTCTGTATGCACAGTATGTTAGCTGACTTGACAATAAATTATATATGTATGTTAAAAAAAAAATAAGCGTCACCAGCATGGGTACGGGAAAACAAATTTGACCACCTAATGATTTTCTAATAGAGTCCTCGCTACCCTTTCTCAGCTATCACTGTTAGGTCCTCGTTATCTCTCGTGAACTTGGCAAAGGCCTCCCATCTGATCTGGCAAAATCCAGCTTATCGACAGCTACTAAAGAATCCTACCAAAAAATACAAATTTGCCATTTTCTACCTTAAGTTTAAGCTTAAAATTCTTGATCATCTGTGGGATAAAGGCCCTTCACAGGCTTCCCTGCTGGACCAGACGCTCCATGAGGGCTTGAACGGCGTCTGCTTTAGCACATCATCTCCAGTGTCTGGTATGGGGCCAGGCACTTGTTAGGAGTTCATTAAATAATGAGTTAAATTGGCGGGATATGTTGATTTGTTGTACACACCGAACTGGCATGGTGTTTCCATCTGTTTATTTTACTAATATTTATTCTTTTTATTTCTGTGAAGCACTTCTAAATATTTCCTTTAAATTTTTTGTGTGTACAGCACAGTATTGTTAATTATTGGCACAATATTGTACAGCAGATCTCTAGAACTTATTCATCTTATATAATTCAGATGTTATTGACTAGCAACTCCCCATTCCCCTCTCCTCCCATGCCCTGACAAACATTATTCCACTCTCTGATTTTATGAGTTTGACTATTTGAGATACCTCATGTAAGTGGAATTGTGCACTACGTATCCTTCTGTGACTGGCTTATTTCACTTAGCATAATGTTCTTAAGGTTCATCCATGTTATCACATGTTGCAGAAATTCCTTCTCTTTAAAGAATATTATAATATTCCATCGTATGTGTCCACCACATTTTTGTAAGGAGGCTCCATGCCTAATGTGGGGCTTGAACTCATGACCCTGAGATTAAGAGTCGTGTGCTCTACTGGCCGAGCCAGCCAGGTGCCCCAACCACATTTTCTTTACCCATTCATCTGTCAGTGGACAGTTATCACATTTTGGCTATTGTGACTAGTGTCACATTGAAACATTGGAGTCCTGGGGCGCCTGGGTGGCTTAGTCGGTTAAGCGTCCGACTTTCGCTTAGGTCATGATCTTGCGGTTCGTGGGTTCAAGCCCCGCGTCGGGCTCTGTGCTGACTGCCAGCTCAGAGCCTGGAGCCTGTTTCAGTCTGTGACTCCCTCTCTCTCTGACCCTCCCCTGCTCCCGCTGTCTCTCTCTCTCTCTCTCCTAGAAATAAATAAAACATAAAAAAAAAATTTTTTTTAAATAAAAAAGAAACATTGGAGTCCTGATATCTCTTTGAGATCTGATTTAAATTCTTTTGGATGAATACCTAGAAATGGGATTGGTAGATGATATGGTAATTTGATTTTTAATTTTTTGAGGAATCTTTATCCTGCTCTTGTCCATAGTGGCTACACCATTTTGCATTCTCATGTAGATTCGAGGGTTCCAATTTCTACACATCCTCTCCAGTACCTATCTTGCTGGTTGTTGTTGTTGTTGTTTATAATAGCAATCCTAACAGGATAAGGTGATGCCTCATTTTTTGTGGTTTTGATTTGCATTTCCTGATGATTGGTGATGCTGAGCATCTTTTCATATACTTGTTGGCCATCTGTATGTCTTTCTTGGAGAAATATGTATTCTAGTCTTTAGCTCATTTTTAAAATCAGTTTATTGGATTGTTTTGCTATTGAGTTGTAGGAGTTTAAAATTTTTTTTAACGTTTATTTATTTTTGAGAGAGAGAGTGTGAGCAGGGGAGGGGCAGAGAGAGAGAGAGAGAGGAGAGACAGAATCTGAAGCAGGCTCCAGGTTCCCAGCTATCAGCACAGAGCTGACACGAAGTTTGAACTCATGAACCGCAAGATCATGACCTGAGCTGAAGTTAGATGCTCAACCAACTGAGCCACCCAGGCGCCCCAGGCCTGTTTTAATGGAACAAAGAGGAACAACAGAACAAGGCCAGTGTGGTCAGAGGTCATCCAAGGGATGATCTGATGATCGAGAGAACTGGAGATGGCCTGAGGAAGAATTTGCAGGGAAGGTGATAGGCTGTAAATATTTGAAAGGTTATTGTGGGGAGGGATAGAAGGGCAGAGCTTAGTAGGAAGCACATTTTACTTAGGTCAACATAGGGAAGAACTTTGTATTCTCACTCTCTCTTTGCGAAAAGGGCCTCTTCACAGAGTAGCAGAGACTGGGAAACATCTGACAATTGTCCAGGACTCCGTTCCTTTGTTGGGAGGTTTAAAGAAAAGCTTAGTCCTCCTGAGTTTCTCCTTTACTCTCACACCGAGTCCCTCTCACCGCACTTCTGACACCAGAGGCTGGTTTTTTTCCCCTTCACACCAAACAGTTCTGTGACACCGCCTGGGTGTCCTACGATTGAACTGAATTATGACACTCTGCCTAGAGAGAGCGTCACATCCCACAAGTTAAGGGCTTGGTCCCATTAAACTGCTCCCCAGTCCCCCAACTTCAGATGCCAATCTCATAGTAGCTCCCAGGTTACCCCACAACTGCCGACTGCCTTGGCTATAAATTGGAGGTTCCCATGACTTCCCCTCCTTGGATTTGATGATTTGCTAGAGCAGCTCAGAGAACTCAGGGAAATACTTCCATTTACCAGTTTATTAAAGGACATGAGAAAGGATACAGATGAGTAGTTAGATGAAGAGATACAGAGGGTGAGGTCCAGGAGGGTCCTGAGTGCAGGAGCTTCTGTCCCCTTGGAGTCGGGGTACGTCACCCTCCCAGGATATGGAGGGAGCTTCACCAACCTAGAAGCTCTCCAGACTCTACTTTGGGGATTTGTGGAGGCTTTATCACATCACGCATGAGCAGACATTAACTTCATTTCCAGCCCCTCCCCCCTCGCTGGAGAATGGGGGTGGGGCTGACAATTCCAAGCCTCTGATCCTGGCTTGGTCTTTCTGCTGAGCAGCCCCCGTCCAGGCATCCACCCAGAATCATCTCATTAGAACATAAGACACTACTACTAATACCTAGTAAATTCTAAGCCATTTAGGAACTCTATTAGGAACTAGAATCAAAGACCAAGTATTAGAACGAAATATGCTCCTATTTTCACTTAGGAAATCATCAGGATTTTTTGGAGTTCTGTGCTGGGAACTGGGGACAGAGACCAATATATATATTTTCTTTTACGTCCCGAGAAGAAAATTGGGTGGCATAAACTGTAAGGTCTTTCTACATATGCGAGTGTGAGTTGACAAAAAGAAAAATAGATCTTTTCACATACAAAAAAATGAGGTTGGATTTAAGTTGGATCACAAGTATTTGCCCATCATTTGTACTTTTATGTTGTTAACAAACTCTGAAATTTGCAGTGTTGGAGGTTTACTTCATTAAGTTGTAGTTTGTACTGAGAAGTAGACTTTGGGTTTCAGTTTCTTTCAGTCTTAACTGAAGGAGGTTAAACCAGGGGTTATCTAAATATGCGGAGTCATTTGCTTTTCTGAGTGCTGAAGGGAAGTCTAGCTAAGACACCAGAAGACTTAGTAGCACCTAAAGGTTAGGAGCATGACTGCCAGCATTTGAATCTGTCTCTGTACAGACTAGTGTTCTTACCTGTAAAATGGCCATGATGCCGGCCCAAGGCTTGTGACCTGGGGGACGTGGCCTTCTATGTGTTCCACCTGTATACTCCTTGAGGCTACCTGACAGTTCTCCAGTAAGTCATTGGTGAGTGAGTGAGTGAAAGAAATTACAAAAATCCTTTCTCCCGGATATACGGTGGGAGCTTACCGAATGAAGAGGTGGCCCTCCATTCTTTAGCTCTGAATTCCAGTTCATTTTGTCCTAAATCTCCCTCTGCCCTCTGTGTTTTGCCTAATTTAACCATATGCTTTCTGAGAATTGTGATTCTTAAATTGGAATGAATTTTGTGGGGACTTGTTTTGGAAAGGGTTTTACTCTTTCACGAATGGGTTACGAAGGTCTGAGAATACTTGGATGTGAGGACTTGAATAATTTATGCACTGGGCCTCTCAGAAATTGATGCCCAGGATATTTTTGGAAAGAAAGTTAGTCGAAAGCGCCAGATTTTTTTAAAGATACATGATAATTATGATTGTGTCTCTTATCAAATATTTATTTTTTTCTTTCCATGATTTTCTAGAGAATGAAGATCTAGAAAACGCCAAGGTGACCTCTCTAGTGGCTTCTGCCTCTGATCCAGAGCCCCATTCCTCACCCTACAGGTAGGGACAGCAACTGCTTGGCTCTTAGAGGCTTATCTCCTCTGAGATAAGGGATTAATGAGACATGGATGGTGCTTTTGAGGGGGACAAGTTGGAGTGAAGAGTATGGATGGTTTGGTTACTAATAAGTCAGCCCTTAAGTGCGTTTAGGGGCAATGTCAGATCTCTTTCAGATTATGCAATTTTCTTTACTCCCAGAGAACGAAATTGTAACAAATAGTGTAGTGTCTTTTTTTTCTTCTCCTGAAGCCCAGGTTGAAATGTTATAACATCAGACATGGATCCCAGGTAGACTTTCAAGAGAATGTGTGTTTGGTTTTTACCCATAAGATGCACAACCACACACACTTTTGGAGGTGGGGTTTTTTTTTTCCATGTAATTTTTAGATTAAACTAGTATGATAACCTTCAGATTGTTATTCTTTTTAAAAAAAATTTTTTTTAATGTTTATTTTTGAGAGAGAGAGAGAGACAGAGATAGAGTGTGAGGTGAGGAGGGGCAGAAGGAGGGAGACACAGAATCCAAGGCAGGCTCCAGGCTCTGAGCTGTCAGCACAGAGTCCAACATGGGGCTTGAACTCATGAACCATGAGATCATGACCTGAGCCAAAGTCGGATGCTTAACTGACTGAGCCACCCAGGCACCCCTCAGATGGTTATTCTTAATTTCCTGTTCCATCCATTTCATCTCCCTACCGTCATTGATATCAGAGTATATAGCAGAAGGGGAAGAGTTGTACTGAGCTGTAGAATAAGTGGAAACCCAAAAAATTAACAGAATAATTAATGAAAAACTATATTTTGGAGAACCCTGAGCTATGGGAGTTACGGTCCATCTGACCTGCTTGGGGCACAGTAGTGTCGAGTAGGACCAGTGTGGTCTCCATGCCCCCCACAGAGTTAGTTGATGGCTGCGGGTAGGGAGGAATGTCAAGATATTTAAACAATCTGTTATTCCTTTTTTAAAATATTTTTTTAAATCTTTATTTTAGAGAGAGAGTACAGGCAGGAAAGAGGGCCAGAGGGAGAGAAGTTTTAAGCAGGCTCCATGCTCAGTGTGGAGCATGACGCAGGGCTGGATCCCACAACCCTGGGATCATGACCTGAGCCGAAATCAAGTCAGACAGCCACTTAACCCACTGAGCCACCCAGGCGTCCCTTTTACAGGATGTTTCTGTTTGCTCTGTACTGTACTAGGTGTGAAAATGTGTTCTACCGTTTAATCCTTGTAACAGCCCTAGTGAAACAGGTGTTTCTTTTCTGATGAGGAAAACAAAACAGTGAATTTAAAAATTTGCCCAAGTTCACACAGCTTTAGGTTTGCTCTCCTCTACAGCTCGTTCTCATGAGTAGCATTAGAAGGGTTTTGAGTTCTTTGCTTAGAGCTACTAGGTTATTTATAGAACGTCCCTTTAGAAGACCAAAGCCTCCCCGAGGCCGTGATGATTTCAGACAACGCTTGTTCTTCCTCAGATCCCAGGAGACCAGTGCCTTTTCCTTCTTGCTGCCACCACCCTTTTTCTGGATGTTGATCTGAAGGATGTTTGGGGGCTGGATTTGGCACGGACTGATGTTTCCTCCTAAGAATAAATAAAGTTTTTGAGTGAAGAATGTACAACATTCTTAGAAAAAAGGATAGATTTAATTTTAAAGCTCTGTTTCTAAAATCTAGCATGTGAAGAAGGAAGTCCAGCCCAACCGACGCTTGAAGCTCAGTGTTTGTGTTTTGTGTATATCAGGAATGGAAGGGTCCGACTCTCTCTCTTTGCCATGAAGCTGGCAGGCTGGCCTCCCTTGGGATGGCCTCCCTGCTCTGGGTCAGCACAAACCAGAAGGCTTACAGTGGAAGTTTTTCGTTTACGTGGTTTATCGTTGGCATCAAGTGATTTGCAATTTATCTTTCCCAAAATACCCTTCATTGATTCTCCAGAGCATGAAATGCTAATGTGAACATTAAATTTATGTGGCTGTTGTGTGTCCTGCTTAAAATGATTTATTTGTTGGTGTGCCTGGGTGCCTCAGTTGGTTAAGTGGCTAACTTCGGCTCAGGTCATGATCTCATGGTTCTTGGGTTCAAGCCCTGCCTCGGGCTCTGTGCTGACAGCTCAGAGTCTGGAGCCTGCTTCAGATTCTGTGTCTCCCCCTCTTTCTGCCCCTCCCCTTCTCATGCGCTCTCTCTCTCTCTCTCTCTTTCAAAAATAAATAAGCATTAAAAAATTTTTAAAAACCCTATTCTCTAAAATAGTTTATTTTTTAAAGTTTTTAAAAAATTTATTTTGGCAGAGAGAGAGTATGTGAGAGGGGCAGAGGGAGAGAGAGAATCCCAAGCAGTCTCCACAACGACAGTGCGGAGCCCTATGTGGGGCTCAAACTCATGAACCATGAGATCATGACCTGAGCCAAAATCAAGGGTTGGACGCTCAACTGCCTGAGCCACCCAGGCACCCCAAAATAGTTTTTTAATAAGCAGAACCATATTTGTGCAAAGTAGCACAGACAAAGGCAAAGAGGAGACTTAATTTTAGATGCCTTGCACAGTAAGGTCAGGCTAATGGTCAGATTAACTGTTGTATTCTTACATGCCAGTACTTCTCTTTTGCTCCCAAACAAAAATTAATGTATTCATTTATTTATTCAACAAGTATTTTGGGACCATCTACTGTTTATTCATCCAACAGATATTTGTTAAGAGCCTGCTACTTACCTGGCCGTGTTCTAGGCAATGCACAAACAGTCCAAGTCCCTGGTCTCATGGCGTTTATATTCTAGGGGGAGGAGCAGACAGAAAGCAAGCATACGTCATACTTCATAGACTCTAAGTTGCCATCCACTGTTATTTCATGAACTACCAAGAAAGGGAAAACTGTCCAAGGTAGAGAGTCTAGTAAGAACCACTCCCCCCCACCCCCACCCGCTCCCATCCTCCATGGAGCTAGGACACCAAAAGCGTGAACCTTCAGTGAAAAGGTAAACAAGAGAAAGGACCCCTTCACACAGAGAAGGACCACAAGGAAACTTGAATGTTTCCATCTTGGCTCTGGGTAAGGGGAGAAAATAAAGATCTCCCCCGAGAATATGAACCACGACTCTGTAGTCACCAGTTTGTGGTCTAAATTCACTGTGCCAGTGTGGTCTCAACAAAACTCTCACATAGAACTTATTCAAGTTGTCTCAGTTAGAAGCCCTCCTGAGTACTGGCAGGAGCAAATGCAAATCTCCCCGGAGAAAGACCGTGTCAGTCCAGGCCCCGGGCTGATGTAAGACATCCTGCATTTCATTTGTGTCAGAATCTGAAAACTAATATACACCTTTCAGTCAACCAGATAGGAGACATAATATGTCAGGCAGTAGTGAGTGCAGTGAAGACAGGCAAACAGGGTAAGGGCAGAAACACCAATGGGGCGAGGTCAGAGTGAGCCATTCGCCATATGGATCATCTGGGGAGCCTCCCTGGAAGGGAAAGCTGAGCAGAAGCTTGAAGGAAGGAGACCCTCAGGTAACCAGCGGAAGGATATTCTAGGCTGAGGTGACAGCAGGTCCAAAACCCTCAAGTGCTTGAGGTGTTTGAGGACCCTTAGAGATTCAAGGGGCCATTGTGACTGCAACGGACTGGGCAAGACGACATGAGGTCATTTTAGGAGATGAGGGTTCCACGTGACAGGACTGGCAGTAGATGCTGTGCGTACTGGGAACAAGGCCCGTCCCTGCCGTCAGGCTCACCTAGTAATAGAGGACACAGATCAGGGTAAATAGTGTCAAGAAACAAAAGTGGACTGTAATTTCTGGGCTTAAGAGAATAAATAGGCTTAATAGCCTAGACTAATTTACATTTTACACAGGATTACCCAAGCAAACCCAGAAAAATCAACAATATCCCGTACCCCTGAGTTTTATAGTGACTGCCTCTTGTTTGTCCTAGGTAGGTTGGGGTGACTTGGATATTCCAAAAGCTGGCCTATTTTATCTGAAAAAAGAGGTTAATATGTAAACTAGGAGCACTTTTTCCTGTTTATTTTAAAAAAAGAAGAGAGAAAGAAACTAATAAACATCAAAGTAAGTCCTGTTTCCCCGTGTCATCTCTGGTACTGTTTTCCAGTCATTGGCTCAGTGGGGATGCTTGAAAGCAGCAGTTCTCAAGCCTTTACACAATTCAAAGTCATTGAGAACCCCAAAGAAATTTTCCTGTGGTTTATCTCGATCAATGTTTACTATGTTAGAAATTAAAACTGAACAATTAAAAATTAGTTATTGATTGATTTAAAAGTGAAAACAATGAACTCATTGCATGTGAATATAAATAATATGTTTTTAACGGAAAACAACTGTTTTCCAAAGCAGAAATAAGTTAGTGAGAAGAGAGATATTATAACGCTCTTTGATGCCTGGCTTCACAAAGACAGTTGGATTCTTAGATCTGTTTCTGCGTTCGTTCTGTTGCGACACCACGTGTCATGTACTGGGCCACTCTAGCGTATACTCGTGAGAAGATGGACATCAAAAAGGGCGATCACATTTTAGAATTATTATTAAAAAAATCTGAGGAGCCCTGGCAGTGCCTGCGCCGAACTCTGACGTGTGCTGCCCTAAAGAATCCTGTGCCGCCTTTTGTTGGCAACAGATTTCCAAGAGACTTGGGGTATCGTGCCATCGACTGGGCACCTCGCTCACTTTGCGGTCCAGAAGCCAGGGGAAAGGGAAGAAAGCAGAAAGTATCCCTTTGCTTCTTTATTCAAATTGTCAGGTCTTAAGATTGGGATCATAGATTAATGTGCTTAAAAAGGGAAAGAAAATGATGACCTTCTTTTATTAGCCATTGTGAGCCGGAGGATGTGAGCCGGAGGGTGTGAGCCGGAGGGTGGTGTGAAGTGGAAGGGCCGAAAGACCGCTCTGGCCTGACCGCAGAGGGATTACCTTGCCAATCAGTTTGCGCTCCCTCCGTTGTGGTGATTGATTTCTGGCCCTGGTGAGGCCTCCTCCCTTCGCTTCCAACAGAAGTTTTATGTGTAGAACAGAACTGGGATTCTGACTCTTATTTTGTTGAAATTCTGTGTGGAGCAAATGGCATGGGCCCCAGAGAAGAACAAAACAGGGACCTGTGTTCCATCTCGGACCACTGACCTACACATTCGCCATGGTTCTCGGAACCTGGGGCCTGGCTTCACCAGTCCTGGGCCCTCACATGCTGTCATGGCTTTATTATGGGCCAAGTCAGCCCCAGGCAGTGGTCAGCTAAAGTGACAGTAGGCCCAGATGCCAGAGGAAAGCAGAGGTTGGGAGGTGTCCCTTGATGGCTGTTTTATTTCTAAGTTTCTCTCAAGACTACTGTGCTTTTTAAAGAGAGTCCTTGAATTGACATGCTCTCTTCTTCTGAGAGGCCACAGATGGGGTCCCCGGGGAGTGAGGATGCCACAGAAGACCTGCGGAAGACAGCCGGTGCCTTGGAGGCTCAGACCTTGGTGGAGCAGGAGGTGCTGCCTGCAGACCGGGCCCAGGTCCTCAACAAGGTAGGGAGGACATTGGCGCAGTCTCCTCGGGAGGAGCAGTGTGGCACCAGAATCTAGGTGTGTATGCACAGGTTGGAACTCGAAAGCATTGGGGCCTCTCAGTTTTAATTATTTGGAGAATGGTCACGTGTGTCGCCCTCAGGGCCCATCACTGAACTGGCAGCTGTTCAAGAAATGAAGTGTTGGAATGGGTCCTCATGTGTCTCACGTGTCGTCTAACATCCTCTGAATGTGAGGCGCCTTCAACCGTGGGATCGTGTTTTAGCTTCAGTTTTCTTGTGCTAGATCTATTTAGTATTTATGGTCAGGGTTCCATAGAAGTGGTGTAGATAGCAGTAATCTCCCTGCCATGGAGGATGGAGTTGTTTGTATTATTACTAACACATATATTATAATAACTAATGCTATTATGGTCAATAAAGACAATGCCAAATATTATCATTACGTTTGCTTTACAAAGCATTTTTACCCACAATACTTCATTTACTTCTGAGAACAAACCTGTGAGACAGGTACCATTATATTCCCATTTTGCAAATAAGGAAACTGAAGCCAAGACATATTGGTGACTTTACTAATGCTGTGCTGCTGATACGTTGCAAACTAAATACTTTGTTTAGCCTTGTGGAAAAGGAAAGACACGTAAGCAGGTTAGCCAAAGTCTGATTCACCTCATATAGCAATGGAGGTAGTATCTTCAGAAAGAGATATTATGAGAATATAGCCTGGGAGCAATTCAAAATTTCTTTCTTTTTGCAAATATAATTCTGGTCTCTTAACTGGACAGCCATCTCACTGGTGTGCTGTCCTGTGTGGCCAGGGGGTATATATGTCTTGAGTTGCCTGCTGACTGCTTGGAGAAGGATCAGGAAGTTATGGCATGAAAACAAGAAACAGGAACACTAATCTGAGTGGTTTGATGTGAAACCCGTGCGAGAGAGACTGCAGCCTCCTGCCATGGGTTAGCGAGGGCTTCGAGTTTCAAGGGATGCTCGTACTCTTCCATGGAGTTAGATGTCTGTCAGCAAATCGACTGTTTAAATACATTTAAACAGGTGAAATGACAGTTATTTATGGGATGCTGTTAGTGGATGTGACAGCCGATGGCATGGGACATCCCAGATGTGCCATGGATGAGCCGGGGATAGAGAATATAAACCACATTCTCTCTCTGCAGTGCTTTGGTGACTCGATTGACAGGGATCTGGAGGTAGCCCGGGAGTGGGGATTGCAGTGGGGGGATGTGTGGAACAGCCAAAGCCGGGCTACACCCCCGAGGCCAGCACTGCCATGAGAGGGACCGCGGGGAGAGGCTGTGTAGGTCATGGCACAGCACAGCAACACCATGGGTGTGGAAGTCAGTAGCAAGCTTGGAGGATGTTCACAGACAAGGATCGTATAAAGGGTCTGCAGTGGGAGAGCTGCAAAAGGGAGGAAGGGACATAGCACATCAGGCTTTGAGCAGATGGAAAGTGGAGGCAGTAGGGCAGGGGTGGGCAGCCCCCTTGGGAAGGAGGCTGAGTGGAATCTACCACGCTAGTAAGTGCTTTAATCAGATCTCCATTGTGCAGATGGCCAAGTACCAAGTTCCACAAAGGTCTGGGGACATCGTTATGATCCAGTCTGAGCACACAGGAGCTATAGATATCCTTTCAGCTGACTTGGAGTCTGCAGATCTACTGGGGGATCACAGGAAAGGTGAGACCTTTGGGAGTATGGAAGGTGGCTTCCTTGTTCCCCGTGGGTGCTTACAGAAAGGCAGGCAGACAGATGGAAGGAATGTAAGAAGGTGACTTGTGAAAGGCAGTCAAAGAAGTTAGGAAGTAGAAAGAATGTCGTTAACTGTGACACCCTCCCTAAGCAAAATGCCAGATTTGGCTGTATTTCCTCTTGGTTTCTCAGTAGTAAGCTGCTTGTCCTTCTAGTGTCCCCACCTCTGATGGCTCCTCCATGTATCTGGACCTTTACCAAGATGAAGGAATTCAAGAGCAAGCTGGGCAAAGAGAAAAACAGCCGTCTGGTGGTGAAGCGGGGTGAGGTGGTGACCATCCGGGTACCTACCCATCCAGAGGGGAAGCGCGTTTGCTGGGAGTTTGCAACTGATGACTATGACATTGGCTTTGGAGTTTATTTTGACTGGACCCCTGTAACCAGCACTGACATAACTGTGCAGGTCAGTGATTCCAGTGAGGATGAGGATGAAGATGAGGAAGAGGAGGAAGAGATCGAAGGTAAATTTAATGTTAACATAATTTGCCATTTGTTTTTTCTGGCTCAACCCAGTGTCTAATGACCACTTCCTGTGTTATATGAGTCCTTCCATCCTTAGAATGCAGGCGAGGAATCCCTTTCAGCACTGTAAGCTAAACTGAGTGATGCAGGCCAAAGTCAAACCCTCAGAGAACATTCTGGTGGGGCTGCTATTGGTGCCTTGCTGGAGAGCTTCTTTTGCTTTTAGTCAGTATCCAGCTGTTTCCCCAACATCTCCTTGGGGACAGGGATAGGGGTGGGCAGGAAAGGAGTGGGTAAGTGCTGCGGTATATAGATCACGTATAAACCCGAGATTATTTTATATTTCTCTCATAGTTTGGGATATTTACCATTGTTTTTAGTCTGGAACCAAACTGGGTGATTGTACATTGCTGACTGTACTCCTCTCCAAACTGTCCCCATTGGCTGATTACTGTTTACTCATGCCCAGAGCAGTTTTTTTTAACCTAAACAATTTTTATTGAGATATAATTGACATACGGCATTATATTAGTTGAAGTGTACCACATAGTGACTTAATATCTGTGTATATTGCAAAATATGCCCAGAATAGTTTTACAAGTGGTTTCTGTGCTCTATTCCCGTTGTTATTTGCAATGCCTACTCAGGGTGACTCAGAGGCTTTTTTTTTGTTGTTGTTGTTATAATACTAAGAGTAGGTTCTAAGTAGGTTCCAAGCATCATGATTTTTCTACATAATCTTAAAACCGATCCCTTGCTTTTTCATGGAAAAGCAAGTCTGCAGGGAAATCTTCGTATTTAGGCCGGGGAGAGAACCTCATGTCTTAATTTGCTGTTCTTCAAGAGGCCAAGTAGAAGTTCTAGGTCACTCTGTACAGTATGTTTGTATTTCCTGTCTCCAGTAGCTGTTTCTTTCTCCTGTTGAATGAAGAGATGTCAGAATCTTCCCTTCAAAATCTTTTCTCCCCCTTGGAAATGTCCAAATATTTCCGGAGCTAGGTGGGCTACATAAAGCTAAATCATTGTTTCTCGGTGGAGACATTTAGGGTGGAATGCTTCCTTGCTGGGCAGGTACTGCCCTGATGTTAAGTGCTCCTGGACACTTGGGCACTAAATGCCAGTATCACCCACCAGTGGCTGTGATGGTCAGAAGATCAGCGGACATTTCCAAACTTCTATAGGGAGGGTAAGAGCATTCCCTCAGCTAAAAGCCACCAAGTCACCTGGTCCATTCTTTTCTCTTGAGGTGGGACTTACTCAGTCTCTGAAGTCATATCTGATCATTGTGCCATTTTGCTCACGCAGACCCTGTCCCAGTTGGAGACGTAGAGAGAGGCTCCAGGAGCTCCCTTCGAGGTCGCTATGGGGAGGTCATGCCAGTGTACCGGCGAGACAGCCACCGAGACGTGCAGGCTGGCAGCCACGACTACCCCGGCGAGGGCATCTACCTGCTCAAGTTTGACAACTCCTACTCCCTGCTCCGCAACAAGACTCTCTACTTCCACGTCTACTACACCAGCTGAAGGCCCGCCGGGTCAGGGGGCAGGCGCATGTCCGCTGGCTGGAGCAGGCCGCCAGCTGGGGCCTCTCGTTTTGGACAGGCAGGAGCTAAAAGTTGAGCGTGGGGCTCCTGACCCTCACGTCCTGCCTGGCATGCCTGACTGTTGACCCCACATAGCTTTCCCCCCTTCTTGGCTTCTGCAGGTGGTGGTGTAGCACTCCTCTTCTGTGGTCCCTGGCTCACGCTCTTGCTTCAGACTCCAGCAAAGTCCCTCCGTGAAGGAGCCCATCAGGCAAAAGCCTAAAGGGTAGTTGGGTGTTCTCTTTTAAAAATAGGTTTGTTCTGGTACAAGGTATTATTCCAGTTGCTGCTCTCTCCTCTCCCAGAGCCTGTACTGCAGACGTGTTTAGTGGCACCCACTCTTCACCTTTTGAAAGTGCTGGAAGAGGAAAAAGCACATTGTCCATGAGGGCACCCAGTCTTTTGGATGGAGAAAGCTCTGTCCAGCCTCTCACCACTGCCATATTCCCACCTGCTGGTTCTTCATGGTCTGTAGCACAGGCCGGGAGCCCTCACTGCCTTGGGAGGGGTGTTAGTAGTCCAGATCGTTCGACTCTGCCTCGTGCCCTCCTCTTGCCTTCCCCACGTCCGTATCCTTGCCCTCCCAGCAAGAACGTCTGTGCAGCCTAAGTGAGGATCTCGCAGTCTAAGATCCACAGGGGAGAGACTGCCTCCGTCAACTTCCTACTTCAAGAGGTAGCGTCCCTGAGCGAAGGTGCTGACAGCTGAAGGGGAAAAGGCAGAAATTAGGTACTAGATTGATCTCAGAATCCACATCTTTGAAAGTCAAGTGTTACTGAATTATTATTTTTTGTTTAATCAAAGAAGGTATAATCTGAGAGACAAAGTTAAAAAACAAAATCACTCCAGAGTCCCCACCACTCTTCTTTATCTTATAGAGGGTAGGAGTGTTATTTAGAAATTTTGCTTCAGAACCAATCCAATTTTGAGTTTCTGAATTTAGGTTTCTTGCATTGAGGGCTTAAAGCTTTTGGTGTTCAAAGTCTCTTAGAAAAGGCGGTACTGAAGCATCACTGTTGCTGCTGATTGGATTGGTTCTTTCCCAGGCCAAAGCTTGCATTTCCTGGGTGGCAGCCTTCCCTGCTATATTAGTCCTGAGGCCCAGGGAGCGGGTGGGGGCACTGCAGTCAGCAGCCAGAGTGGCGGGGTGGCCGGGCTTCGGGCAGCGGAGACCACTGTGGTCGTCTGTACCTCCTTGTTTCTTATTCCTTGTGTCCAGTCTGTTATTGCCTTAGAATTTTGAGGAATAATTCGATTTATTTATTACTTTATTTATTTATTTTTTGGCACATTTCATTTTGCCTCTGAAACACTTTCCACCTGTTTCTTAGAAGGCTTCCGTCTGCTCTGAGCCACTGAGGCCACCTCTTCTGTGGAGTTGGATGATGATTTTAGGAGAAGCTGGGAAGTGAGAATTCCCTTCCTGCAGGTCAGTCCTGGGGTGCTTGCGGAGGACTCCGCCCTTCTGGGGTGGACGATGCCCCCCTCCCCCAGCGTTCCCTGGGAGGAGTTCTAGGCTGCGAGGGGCCCTGCCCACTCACCCAGGATTGAGTGCAGAGGAACTGACGTGCCAAGCGGGCATATCCGAGGATTCCGGGATTTCAGAGTCCTTTGCCTACTCTGAGGAGTCCTCTTCCTCGTGACGTTTCCTTTGGCTCGTTCCTTCCTTGTGCAGGGGTCTGACACCAAGCCTGTCCTCCCTACAGGAGCAGGGACTCGATCAGGGCTCCTCACGGTAGCACCTGTGTCACCAACAAAGGGCAGTACAGCCTGTACCTTCTGTTCCCCTGGGAGCGAAGCCCCAGGAGGGTCAGATGTTGCGGACCAAGCAGCGTCACACCACCATTGTGTTGTATTTCAGTGCGTTTTGTAGAGGATTACACTGGCCAACGTGTACTACCTTGTAAGAAATTAGAAATGATTTCAGTGACTATTTGGGCAGCGAAAAGCAAACTCGCTGAGCGTCATCTAATCATGAGATAAACTGAGCGAGCACTCTTTCAGCATGAAGTTGAATCCTGCCTTAGCTAATTGAGTCTAATCTTTATGAAATAATTTTCTACTGAGCCTGTTCCCCAGTCAGCTAAAGCCTTGCTTATTTTTCCTGTTTATTATTAACTTCCGGCTTTCTCTTAAAACGGAGCTGTCGGGCCCTAGCAAGCTCCCTGGGACAACAAGCACTCTCTTCTTTGTTTATTTTTGCCATGAGCTTCTCTGTACTTATTTTCTTTGGCATCCTAGTCCCGGTGCATCAGGGAAGCCTGAGGGACCTGTTCCCGTCACCTCCACGTGCCTCTTTTTGTCTGGTCGCTTTTGAAGTCCTTGGACATTGTTACATTTCACCCTGCATGGGCGTTTCTTTGTTCCATTAGTACAAAATGGCTTTTCAAAAGAAGATATTTTTGCTGTCTAATCATTTACTCTTCTCCTATTAAATTTCTGCAATCCTTGAACTTTAGGGACCAAATATTATTTGTGGAAGCACATGTAATTACTGAGAATTTCAGAGCCCAGCGAATCCTGAGGTCATCCTTTCCTTAATCTCTCCCTGTCCAAGTTCGTAGAACCAAGCAATGAAATCAAAGTCTTCTGCTCCCCCCCGAACTTGTTCTCTAGAGCACAAATAAATACTAACAGACAGAAGAGAGCGCTTTGTAGTGGGAGAGAGATTGAAATTCTCTACAGAGTAGCCGACTTCTTACATTTCTTCAGTCTGTTTAGCTTTGCCACTCTGTTGAGAGATGGGGCTTTTAGAAAGGAGGGCATGTTTAAAGTGTTAATTTTTTCTAACATTTTATGATAAAGAATTTTCAGCAAGCAGAGAACTTAAAAGTAGAGTGAGGGTAACTCTGAGGCTGCTCTGGAAAGACTTTGTTCTAATCTGTTGCTTTATGACAGGCCCTCAGGCCTCCGGAGGTAAAACTCAGTCCTCAGACAATAATGGGGTAGGTAACGCCTCGAAATAAGGTCATTCATGTATTTTAAAAATATTTTTTATCTGTTATTTAGGAAAGGAAACTTCAGACTTCTTAAAAGTACATATTTTACTCTACTATGTCTATATGAAAAGAGTTAAATCTGGGAGTTCTCTATCTTGTGCTAATCAGTGGGAGTCAATATTATTGTAAACCTTACCAGTTACAGAAAATATCTGAGTTTCAACGTTTTTGATGAGCCCTATGCAGTTCCTCTTTGAAACAATTAGGCAAAAACTCACTCTTCTGCAAAAAGTTGCCTTTTAACCCCAAAGTATATGATTCTAAGGTATGGAGGTGAGTCACCCTAACATTTACATAAAGGACAGTTGTTTTAGTGGAGGGAGAAGGAGGGACCTGAGGGAAAGAGTTTTGTGCAGCTTGGGGATTGCCTTTTAAAACTGATAGTAAGTGGGGGGTAGGAAAGAGTAAAATGAGGGGAAGAGAGAGAAGCTCTCAAATGTATCCCAGAATTTTGCTCCTATCCCAATTTTATTTAGTTCTTTAGTCTGTACTTTATTAGTTGGAACTGTTGTTGAAGCCAGAAGCCTTGCTGGTTCTCATTGTGCTTGTCTCAGAAACCTCCAAACCAACAGGATCTTCTCCAACAGGATTGACTTTAGGACTCTTTCTGAGTAGGTCTTCTCTACTAAGTGTAATCCCCCGACCCGGGGCTGGGTTTCATCTCCGTGTTCTCTGGGCCATGGAGAAGGATGGTAAGACTAGAAAGAAGCTAGGAGGAGGTGCAGCTGTGTCCCTCCAGCCCCTGTTGGTTTTGACTTGGCCAAGAAAGGGGTGAAATCAGTTAATTTTGACTAACATCACAGAAGGGCCTCAAGCCACAGGCATATATTTGTGAGCCAGCTGTGCCCCTCCAGGCTGGCCTCTGTGTGAGGTGTAGGAATCCCTGTCTTCTCTAACCTGTGTGGGATGGTCACAGTTTGTTCTCCCTTTAAAGAGCTTCCATTGGGAATTTCTCCTGGGCCTAAAAGGTCCACATCAACCTCTCTAACTAGTCTCTTTCCGCCTGGCCAAAAGTGTAGAAGTCCTGGAAACCTGAATTTGCTGCAAAAGGGAAGAGCACCATCCCTATAGAATCGCAGTGGTTGAAGAGAGTTGGAAGGTGAGTTTCTGTCTGAAGGGAAGTAATTTCATTTCTTTTATTGTGAGGGGTGGCACATTAAGAGATTCATGCTCTTTAGAGAGCAAGTCATTGTCTTACCTGTGTTTGTGCTCAGGAAGCCATGATGCAGGATTCTGTGGGAAGTGAGTAGGACATGGGTCTATAGAACCAGTCACAAGCTCTCTAGTAACCCGGTGTGTGGTGAGCATCTCTATGGCCAAAATCCCAGTCTTCATGCATGGAGTCCATCCCTAGGCCCTCATTTCCACACACTTGAGAGATAAAGAGGGACCAGGGCCCCCCATTTCTCTCCGATGTCTTGGTTATTTACAATATTGTTTAGCACTGGCAGTATAGTATCCAAGGCCTCTGTTTACTGGATTAATCAGTTAGCGTGAGTTGAGTGGAAAAGGCAGTCAGCCTTGGTTGGAAGTAGGACTGGGGAAGGATTATGACTTATGGTCCCATATCGGGATAGCTGGGTGTCTTGTGTATGACTGTACAGTCATCAGTTGGAACTCTTGTTAACCTTACCAAGTGAATGAAGAGGATATGCCAATGCGATACTGATTAAGGCAACAAGTTAATTGAGCCGAGTACTGACTAGAGCAAGCCCTCTTTCTCTGGGAACTATATCTGCCACAGGCTGTGAATACGATTGTAGCTTGAGTTTGCAGCTCCTCAGTGTTCTCAGAAGGAGAAGAACCCCCTGGGAGTTGGTTCCTGGTGGGTGGTTTTCTGGAGATGGGGGAGGCGTCCAGAAGAAAACTGCTTTGGCTTAGGTGGTACTTGGTGATGGTCGGTGTTCCCCCTTTGCTCTGTCTAATCCATCTAGCATCTCTGAGCACTTCTTTGACATCCACCCACTTATTTAGATTCTGAGGTTAGGGCAGGGCTTCGGACCCAGAGGGTGACAGAAGCTTTGCTAAATATTGTGTGGCCAGGCTTCATTGTTCCTGCCTGAACCGTGAAGTCCACACAAAGCCCCTGCTGTTTGAATCTCTTGTTATTAAGCTAAGAAAACCCAATTGCCGAAGGCCTTGATGGAGTTCATTTACCAATAGTTATTCCCTCACAAATGAAGTCCAAACGTAAGATGCTGGCTTTGAAATTATTTGTGGTCCTGGTCACTGATTGAACTTATGATCTGATTACCATTATATGTACTTTGATTTCTCTTAGGCCCCAGGCACATGAATGAGAATTAATGTCATGGCTCTTCCTTAAAGACATGAGGAGAAAGTGCCCCAGAAATCTAGATATACAGGCTTCTTTATTAAATTCCACAGTTTTCTGTCACTTAAAAGTACTTATCTAAGGGTAAAATAATTCATGTGAAATGACTTCCAGGGGACAAAGTGCACTTTCTAAAAGTTCTGATATAGGGTCATGAACAAGTCTGAAGTTTGGGTTTGGAATATTCTAGCATATAGGGTTCCAGAAGAGCCCTTAACCAACAGTTTAAAGAGTTCTCTTCCTGAACTCACTTCTTCACTCAGGTTTGAAATATTTCTGTCTAAAATGTTCCTTGTTATTGTTATTGTTGATTTTTGGGTTCAGGCCGACAACTGTCTGGAAAAATTATCTTAATTCCTTCTCTTATGTCCTAAGTAGTACATTGTACTAAGAAATTCCATATTAAAAACTCTACTAACCTCCATTTCTGAGATTATTGTCCCATAAATGGAGTTGCTTTCATTTAATCAAGTTGAATTATGTCCATTTAGCCACGTTCAAGAGCAAGTAAAGACTGGAGAAAGCAATCCTGTAACCCACGGACTCTGGTGTACCCATTTGCCCTTAATAATGGGAAATGTTTTGAAATTCCCAGAAGAACATTGCTTTGTAATCAAAGTGATGGGTTATGAGAAAGCCGGGCTTTGGGTGAGGATCACTGGGATAGAGGGCGGTGCTTGCAGATTTCCTAAACTACTTTATGCCACTTAACTTCTGTTTCTGAAAGGCCTCCTTTGGTGCCATGCACTGAGACCTGTCCGCTGAATGAAGATGCTTTCTTGGCAAATTGGCAACCATAAAGGCACCCTTTCCTTCTTCTAGATCATGCTCTGACACTGATGTGGGATCTGAAAAGGAAACACAGTCTTTTCTTTAAACTACAAAAGTAGCCCAGCCAGTCACTTATTGCAGCCATCTTGTTTTACGTGTCCTGGATCACGAGAAACACTGTCACCAGATCCCCTGATTTCTAAGAGCTCTGTACCAAATTGTGACTCAGTCGTTACGTCCTGCCGAGTGGTTTTTCCTTTAAGATACCTTCTCTTACCACCCTGTGGCACTGAATGTGTTGCTGTGGTACACAGATGATGCTGAGCTGTGAGTCTTTAAACAGCTCAGTTCTTGTGTTTTTATATTCTGTAACTGTTTTGTGATGCTTTTGTGCATTCTTTGTCTTCTCTTCCAAGTTTTGAAATCTGTCTTAAATAAACTTTTTCACTATGCACCTGAGATGTTTTGACTTCTGTCTTAATGAACCTGGTTCACATTTTACATTTTTTATTTATCTCTGCATTCCTCCTAGAATAAAGGTATTCTGCAAATCTATGTAATTCTGTCACCTATTGATTATAAAAATTAAGAAAAATCAGCAGTTAAGAAAAGATGAAGAAAGATTAATGATAGGTTTTTCAACTGTGTTTAAATTCATGGCAGAGTGTTATGAGCTGGGGACTGGGTTGGGCCCAAGGGCGGAACAGGTGGGCTCGCAGTGCTGATTACTGAATAGTCATTACAGTTTTACCAGTATTTGGTTTCCAATGATCATTTCCTAATGTGCTTACTGTGTTCAGATTTGTAACTGGCACTTTTGATACCAGGGTAATCATTAACGCAGTCCGGGTGATATTAATTCAGTCTATTTTCATTTTAAAAATGACACCACCTGAGGATGGCTTACACATCTCTCAAATTGCTGCCTGTGTGTATCTCTGGTGTTTATTACAAAATGAGAATGACTCCTATCTGAGGAGGAAGGGGTACCATTGAAATTTTTACTCTTAGTGAGATCTGTGGTTCTAAGACGAGCCTATTAGAGCTCGTTTTCCTCTGCATCGTATTTTAGAGGCTGACGTATAAGGGAGGAAGAGATTGGAAATAACCGTGAGTTAAATGGATATGATCTGCCCACCAACCTAGGGCACAACCAACAGTAGAAAGCCCAGGCAGACTACATGGAGCTTGGGGCCTTCAATGAGTTATGTTTGGATGTGCTGAATGTGTTATGGCTAAGTCATCATATATTGAAGGTTATTTCTTGGAGAGCACAGGCTGGGGGGAGGGCAGAGAGAGGCGGACAGAGGATCCAAATTGGGCTCTGCCATGACAGGCTGACAGCAGCAAGCCTGGTGCAGGGCTTGAACTCACAGACTGCAAGATCGTGACCTGAGCTGAAGTCAGACACTCAACCAACTGAGCCACCCAGGTGCCCCTTGAAGGTTACTGTTTACCTTTTAAAGGCACTCATTTCTGTCATATCATTGATCCTGACAGAGCTCGGGATTATATGTTGCAGCTCTTGACATTTAGTCTGATGTTCTTTAACCTATGAGGTTCTGACTAGACTCAGCCATGTTAGTTCACCTATTCTCCGGAAGTAGAGTGATGCCTCCTGGTGACCTTGGGATGAGAGCTAAGTAAGTTATGTGTAAAAGTTAGGAGGAGCCGATACAATGAGTACTTAGGAGTATGTGTGTCCACCTGCTTGTTCAGTAAGTTTACTACTTTCCTTAATGATACGTATAATTGCTTTGGAACAAAATCCTGTATGTTTTGCTTTGTTCCAAGTATGTCCTGGCAGCACCTCCTTCCTGGTTTCATCCTTCTAAAGTATTTGAAAGACCCTCCGCACCTAATTACCACTCCAGCATCTGTCATCCCCTGTGGCCACTCCCACTGTGACTGCAGATCAGGTCTCCCTGTGGGCTCTGACATACTGGTGTCAGGGATCTGCCCATTGTTCCCCACAGGTCTAACGGCTGAGGTGGGAATGAGGGACTTGACATTTACCACCCACTCAGCCTTTGGACAGAGGACCCCAGTGGAAAACATGCCCTAAACACGTGATGGTTTTGAATTGAGAGGTACATCTGACCCCTGAAAACCACTGATTTGCAGATTTAAGGGAGTCACAGAAGAGGTAGTTTTCAAACCGCTTTAGAGTCCTAATTACTGCTAAGCCCCAGGGCCATTTGGCCTGACCTGTAAGTTGTCTCTATACTTAGGGAGATTTGCTCCTTCATGATCTTCTAGGGCCCCCTAAAGAGGAGAGGGGCCTTCTGGGAGGGGAGGGGGTAGACAGCCATGGACGCACAGGAAGGACATGTTTCCATCTAACATGCATTAGTCACCTTGAGTGGCAGGGGGGTTACAGGGAGGTGGGGAGTACAGCCCTAGGGGAGGAGTTTGCGAGAACTCTGCTCTCACGCAAGGAGGATGGCTTAGAAAGGCTGCATTCTCTTACTCCCCTCCCTGGAGCACGGCTGAGTTCCTCTGGGAATAAAGAGGGCTCTCCTCCCTCCCAGGAAACCAGCCACAGGTCCCCAGAGGCCAGTTCCCGATAGGGAGGGCTGAAGCTGGCAAAATCTCAGGTTTCCACACCCCTCAGTGGCAGGTCAGCTAACTGCGCTGGTGACCTGGACTCCGCAGACGGCCCGGAGCTGGAACACATGGACTGGTAGCCTCACTGACTCAAACCCGCAGGCCCAGAAACCAGACCGCTCTCCTTTCTCAGGGCTGTGATCCTTTGGCAAGGCCAGAGCCTCTGCGCATCCCACCGCCCCTTTCCACACTCGCCTCTTCCATCCCTCAGTTCACCCCGCACTGGTGGCTCCCCCTGCCTGCCTTCTATTGCAGACCTCCAACTCTCATCTCCCCCAGTTCCCGCACTTCCTCACAGGCCGGGTCCCCTAGCCTGCCGAGACACCCAGAATTGTCGCAGGCCCTCGGAGAGCTCAGGCGCTGCCCTCGGGTCTGGGTGCAGAAGGCAGCGAGGGTGGTCCCCAGCCCCGGTCCTGACACCAGCCCGCGGTGCAACCGGCTGCGTGGAGAGCTCCCACGGCTTAGGTTCTAGCTTTCAAATACAAAAATCTTTGCAAAAACAGGAGGTGAGAAGACAGAGCACTGTCCTCCTAAAGCCAGTGCAGCTGACAGCCACAAAGGTTGAGCCACTTCCTCTGGGTGGCGCAGGTGGTGGGTATTGGCAAGCACCAGCACGGTCCAGGTGTCACCCCAAAGGAGCCTGGAGCGAGTTTCTCTGCCTTAGACACATTTCTGTTTTAGGGGAGAAGGTCAGGCTTGTCTGAGTTTGGGGGTGAGGGGTCTGGGGAAAGCCAGATAGAAAGGAGGGCCTCAGAAATGGGGCTCCAGGGATCTTGGCTGAGCCCAGGGGAAAAGCCACAAACTCATTCTCTCCTCCCTACCCACCCACAGGTGGTTTTCACCTTGCATGTGACACGTACCAGAAACTTCCTGTTGAATCAGAGGACCGAACTATGGGAACCATGAGAAAAATATGGAAAGTGAGTTTCATGCCACAGATGAGGGATGGTTTCTATGTTTTGACAACAGAGGCTGTATCCGCTCTTTACCTGATTTAGATTTCCTTAAAACCCATTAAGCTCTTGCCACCAGTTTGAGGCTGATAGAGTCCCAGCTTAAAAGGGTTAATATGCTGGTAGTTGTCCAAGAGAAGGCCTGAACTGAGCTCTGAGAAGTCATCTTGGGTCAGAAAAGCAGAGAAGCACAGACCCACCACACTGAGCGGTGGAGTTCACATGGCCAATTAAATTTCCACGAGGGACAAAAGCTCAGGAAGAGCAAGGGCCACGTCTGCCACATTCCCGCTCCCATGGCCACATATCCCAGCTCCCAGCCCGGGTAGGGGGGTGGTGGGAGGGTCATCTGGGAAGGCTCACTGCAAGCTGGTGGACTGAATGGAGGGGACGGCAAGTCCATTACTAGCTGGAGTAGGACAGCCACCACTTTTCTTCCAGGAAAACCCAAGCACCTCCTCACTGTATCTAATTCTCTAGAATCATTCAGGGCAGGGGGAGCGTTCTCTGGAATCCCTGTCCTGGATGCAGACTCTGTCTAGTTCCCTGCCTTCCCAGAAGTCTCTTGTCTGTTCCCGGAGATGGGACTGGGAGGAAGAAGGGGTGGAGGAACCCAGTAACCTCAGCAGTGTTGGAAATCGGTTCCAATCATCTGGGCTCCCAGGGTGCCTGCCGGTGGGGGGCAGAGCCAGCTGTCTCCTTAATCCCAGGGAAGTGGCGGCAGCACCCTGTCTGGCCTTGCCCATGGCTCCTCACCCGTCTGTCTTTCCAGAGCCAGGGAGGCCGACTGCCATGGGGCTGTGGGAGCATGGCCTGAAGTGGGGGCCAGCCTCCTTTCCCCAGAGTTCATTCGGTCTTTAAAATCCATGGGGGCTTTAATCACCTTCAACTTCAAATGTCCAAGTCAGGTGCCAGTCCTGGTCCCTGGGCTGATGTTAGTCTCTTGAGTCAAGGTTTTCTGGAGGGAGGCCAGGTGAACTTCACCCAGCCAGGCAAGTCTGGGGTAAGCTGAGGGAAAGATGGCGGCAGGGCAGGAGGAGCCACCGAGTCTCCCTTGTCACTGCTGTGTCTCACCTACTGTCTGGTGCTTTTTTCTGGCTCTGCCAGGACAGACGCAGCTCGGGAACAAGAGCAGCCCACTTTGGTCATGCTAAAGCCTGGAACCCAAGTTCAGGAAAGAAGAGACCACAAAGGAGCCCAGGATGATGGGAGAACTAGGTACCCTGGGATCAGGGCAGAAGGGACTCAAGGCTGAGAGTGGTGGCTTCCATTTGAACCAGACACATCGACCTCAGTTCACTGTTCAGACCTTAGTCATGCAGGGGAAATGAAATCTCAGGTACAGGACATAAAAGTCACATCTGGTTCCACTTCCAGAAGGGACCTCAAGGTAAGCTGTGACCTGGTGGGATCCCGAGCCAGCCTGATCAGTGGCTGTTCACACTGCCCATGCGGGAGCCTGCCTCCAGTTCCCAGGGCCATTCATGACTGAATTTATTTGAAAATGCTCTTTCCTGCTTTTTTTCTTAAAAAAAAAAAAATTTTTTTTCTTAATGTTTACTTGTTTTTGAGAGATGGACAACGCAAGTGGGTGAGGGGCAGAGAGAGAGGGAGATCCAGAATCCAAAGGAGGCTCCAGGCTCTGAGCTGTCAACACAGAGCCCGACGTGGGGCTCGAACCCATGGACCACAAGATCATAACCTGAGCTGAAGTTGGAAACTCAACCAACTGAGCCAAACGGGCACCCAACCAGGCATCCCTCCTGCTTTTTCTGTCTGTTCTCTTCTGCATCTGATCTGGTTCTCTAAGGCAGGCTTTTGAACTTCTTTCCACTGCTCTCAGGTGCCAGGGGCCAAGCCTACCACATGGTGGGCATGTGGCTGGCTGACTTCC